TTAACTGGAGGAAAAAAGGCGCCTATAACTGCGGTGGTCGCCCTTTCCCCCCCCCCCCCCCCCCCCCCCCCAAGATACACAGATTTCTCTGCAATTTTTGACCTGTAACACACTAATTACAAACAGCTGATACAATTGTGTATTCTCTTGCCTCAACATGGTGTAAAGCAAATTAATACGTTTACTTAAGTGTTGTTTATGGTTTTCAACTACTCAATCCTTTTCTGAGCAATTTGGTATTCTGTAAGATCTTTAATTACATGCTGTCCACAGAAATCAGAGGTACATTTTAATATTTTTGTGCCCTTTAATAGTGTCTATAAGTTATTAATAAGTAGCGTATCCTAGGCTAATATATACTTGTTTGCACAGGACGTAACGCAGTATCCTACAATATAAATGTTAATAAATCAGGCTTTTCAGACTAAAGTCTTCATCAATCAAGTCTTCCAAAAATATTCCTTTGGTTGTATTTATTGATCTACAGAAGACATTGACTCCAAAAGGTAACACGTTAATGTGAGAATACCTTTCCAACTCTGTCTCAAGACGTTAAGATATAAAGGCAGACTAAACATGCAAAAAAAACAAAATATGATACACAACACATGAGCTCTGATCTGGTCTCTAAAAATGTTTGCTGTTACAAAATGCGACATGAAAAAGATCTCTAACTTGCAAGTATACTATAGGCCTACTACACTAAAACTTTCATAACCTAGCTACAATTGCTTCCCTGTCTTTCATCGCCACGGCAAATCAATTGAGGTTTACTACAATCAGGATGGTTGTTTCCAAGTCGAGCAGTTTACGAGGCATCCCTGAATGCGTCAGGAACATGAGGAGAATGATAGTAGCGGTGAGTCCAGCCTCTGGGTGGGGATTTGTGTGATTGATGGTCGCCTCCGGAGAGTGTTTCATGGACTCGCCCCCTCCCTCTCCCTCTCTCTCTCTCTCTCTCTCTCTCTCTCTCTCTCTCTCTCCCTCTTGCGCTCTCTCCCTCTCTGAGCAGGAATGTGGAAACGGGGAGTTCAGTCAGTCAGCGCTGCACGTTTCTGCACCGCACGCGAGTGAATAATTGACCTCGGTTAAATATATTGATGAGGAGGAAGTGATTTGTGAACGGTTTCTGCGGTCACTTTTTTTTTTGGAAGGTGGGAGGATTAACATTCTTCGGTCGAACGCATAATTCCCCTTCTCTTTTCCTCGACTGGAGAAAAGTTTGCTTTGAGACCCAACACAGCTGGAGTCAGCGGATGGGAATAACCTCTCAGTGGACACCGAGCGCACTTTTATTCCGGAGGTCTCCCAACATGTAAGCGGTCTTTTTCCTTTTTCTTTATTCTTGTTTTCATGATTTACATTCCGGCGGTGTGAGCACTGCGATAATACAGCGTGTCCCGCGAGGTAACGAAAAATCACTGCGATGTATGTTCCTGTAGTCGCTGCTCCTGCAGGGAGTGTTTCCTGAACTACATGTCCGGTTACTGTTGTACTTAATGGGTATTGCATGTGTTATTATAGTCCCACAGTTGTTATAGTTTCGCTCTGATATGTGTATACTATCGTAGTAAAGTTTATTATATGAATGCTATTGCTGTTTTGTAGGAGAGATAACGTTGTTTTGAAAATGAAGCTAAATTCACAGTATAGCCCCACCTGGTAATGTTCCATTCATAGGCTACCTGTTGGGATGTACTGGTTGTTATTATGCGTATTCAGGGCTGCCTTGAAGGTGCGGAATTTTGTGAACTAACTGCATTCCTGTGTGATTATAAAGGAAACAGAGAATAACTGTTAATCTCATTTTATCATACTTGAGTTGATAATGCATCAGCCTGAGTTTGATAATTGATTCAATTCAATTCAATTTATTTTTGTATAGCCCAAAATCACAAATTACAAATTTGCCTCAGAGGGCTTTACAATCTGTACACATTTGACATCCTCTTGTCCCGGAACCCTCACATCGGAACAGGAAAAACTCCCCCAAAAACCCCTTTAACGGGGAGAAAAGAGGAAGAAACCTGTGGGAGAGCAATAGAGGAGGGATCCCTCTCCCTCTCTGGACGGAAGTGCAATAGATGTCATGTGTAGATAACTGAATTACAACACATTCAATGTATGACAATTGTGACGAATAGTGTTTCCGAATCGTATTGAAGATATTGAATAACTGTGCCTCTTATTAAACAAAGTCCAATTTTGTTTAGTCTACTTATCTGCTTACTTCGTCATTTAGGAAAAATCTTTGAAAAGAAAAAAAATATAGTAAGATTATTCCAAAAGCCAACAACTTCTTCCCACAGATGACTTTTTTGTGTTGTCTTCTCTGTGTCTCTTCCTCCTGACAGGGACCGGGAGTCACTGAGAAGGTGAAGGCTGCTAGTGATAAATGCTCACCGCGAGGCTTCCCTACCACACTGCGACTGCTCATATAACTGCTGTTAGTTCAGTGACTGTGTGAACCACTCGCAGGCTTGTTTACCATGGCGTCTAGTCTCACATGCACAGGCGTTATCTGGGCCCTGCTGTCCCTGCTGTGCGCTGCCGCCTCCTGCGTTGGCTTCTTCATGCCCTACTGGCTGCTGGGGACACAGATGGACAAGCCGGTATCCTTCGGCACGTTCCGCCGCTGCTCCTACCCGGTGAGGGACGAGGAGAGGCAGGCCACGGTGATGCTGGAGCAGTGCGGCCGCTACGCCTCCTTCCTCGGCATCCCCAGCCTGGAGTGGAGGATCTGCACGGTGGTGACGGGCATGGGCTGCGGCCTCCTCCTGCTGGTGGCCCTCACAGCTCTCATGGGCTGCTGCATCTCTGACCTCATCTCACGTACAATCGGCCGCGTCGCCGGCGGCATGCAGTTTGTTGGAGGTGAGTTTATGTTTCTGTGTTTGTGTTCCCCCACCACTAGTGGGTGATTATCATCTGACTGTGGGTGTGCAGAGCCAAGGCTCTGGTTAGAATTATGAGGCGATATGGGGGCTATCAAGATCACATGTGTCGTGATGGTTTTGCTTTGCACTGAACGATTCTATGTAACTCCTAAGATGTTTACAGAGAACTGTGAGGGTTTTAATGGTTGTGATTAACTTCTCATCAAACGTGGTTTGTTCAGGAACACAAGATCACATTCATGAGGGAACAAGGATGCGTAGAAATCTTAATAACCGTGAACATTTCACCTCGGGCTCCAGTTTTCTTGGCTAAGAAACCTGCGGTTAGCCCAGAGAAGCTGTCGTTTCCTCAGACACTTGGCTCCACAAGAAATGGAGCCCGGTTGAAGACATTGGGTCAGTTTACATTTCTTAACTCCTGACTGCAGTTTAAACATAGCACACACGATTCTGCATTCTGAGTCAATATTTGAAAGACTGTTTAAAAAAATACATATACCACATTTACAAAGTGAATTGTTGATTTCACATTAAGTGTGTTGGTGCCAAAGATGTGTCTTTGGTCTCAATTAAGAAAGCATGGACTAGTTTTACTTCTCTTATGTGCGGCAGATTTTGGCATCAATTCAGATCTTCAGTTCTTTTAGTTCGACTGATGAAATGATTGAAAACCGAGCCAACGTGCCCAAAATATGTCAGCTTGGGTTTTCTGTTCTGGTTTTGATCCTTTCGAGTTGAAAAGAAACCCACGCCCTTTCTCTTTCTCTCTGCACAAATGGAGTCCTGTCCACGCTGAAGCCATGGAAAATGCCTTTTTGTTTGTTTGTTTGACTGCAATAAGTGTATGCGGCTCCGCACGGCACCAGCTTTGTTTATGTGCACTGTTGGCGTGTTCTCCCGGGGAGGCGAGGTCTGAGCGAAGGCTTCCACCGAAGCTGCAAGTTTCTCTGCCCCAGTTTAAGAAGCTGCGGCGCTCCGGCCCTCTCATTAACTCATAAAACGTTTGCTCGCATACTGTGGCTCACCACTCTGCTGTTTGCAATCCCCGTCACTTCAGCCGGGCTTTAAAAAGTGATGTGACAGAAAAGCAGGTTGCCGGCAGATTTGACAGAGTTGCCAGGTTTTTTTCCCCAGAAGGATAAATCTGCAGAGGGCCACCACAACGTGTTATGTCCTAGTTCTTAGCTGCTTTGGAACGTCAGTATTAATGATGTATAATATGGAGGATGATTAAGGTGAAGGCTGGTTGGCTTATTCAGAAATGTGCACTTTTATGTAAGGAAAGCTCCTTTTAAGCTCCAAGCAACCCCATACATAGAGTATTACAGCAAGATGCTATTTTTGGTTATAGGATTAAAAAGAAAAAAAAAATCCCTGTCTGTCTTTCTTGCAGTTTCTCTCTTTTCGTTGACTCACAAATCCAGCACCGGCGTGAATTGAGATGGAGGGGAGAGCGAAGGAAGGCGGGGTCCAATACAAGGGGCACCGCTCAGTTCTTTCTTAACTTGAATGCTGGCGAGCCAAAGGGCAGAGATGTCTCAGAAGGGCTAATTGGAAGTGACACAATTGGGAAGCTCAGTGGGCCGCTCCGTGCATTGTCTTCTACCGCTCGCGAAGAGTGCACAAATGTCAGGGTGAATTGGGAGAGAGAAGAAGAAAAAGAAAGACCTGATCATTGAAACATTCTGCATTCACTTGTTATTAACCGAGAATCTCACTGAGAGATGCCTGGGGGGGGGCGGGGGGGGGGGGACATAACGAACTGTGTGCCGAGAGATGTGATCAAATCTCAGCGATTAGCGGGAACAGTGACAGGGACTAAATGAGGAGGAACAGTTGGCATTTTGTTGTTGGCCAGATGTAAAAGAGCCCCGTGGTTCGCCGTGTGATGCCGGTGTCTTCCTCCTTTTGTGTTTCCTCTGCTCCTATTGTCGGCCACTAATGAAGAGTGTCTTACCAGAGAGGCCGGGGGCCTCTGGGCCGCCAAGAGGAAAACATCCACTTTAATATCTCCCTGCAATTTATCTCAATCCCAGGGATTAGATTAGAGCAGAAAGGATTTATCAGCGCTTTACCTCATTAGCCGCAGCCCCGGACTGAAAGAGTATACCTTTTAACAATAACTGTTATTGTTTCTCGTTGTTGTTGTTGTTTACCTCTTGTAATGCTGCTTTCTCCCGGTTCACTTGTGGGCAAGTTGCTCCAGAGCTTGGTTAATTGCTTATGGCAAAGGCCCAAATTTCCTCTCCGGGCCAGAGCGCTTCGGTCTGAGTATGAGACTATGAGACGGTTCTGGCTCATAAATCAAAGGCCTGAGCGCTCTGCGCTGCTTACACTAAACAACCGCCTGTGCGGTAATTTCTTGTCTTAGTTATGCAGCGGTGCGAAATCTGTGGCACAGACGGGAGGTTCAGACTTTAAAAGATTTTTGACTTGGATTTGGTTGTTAGGGATTTTGATCCACCCCCCCACCCCCTGCAGAGCCTCGCCTTGTCTTTCGGGTTCCTCATGCACAGCGGGGGGGGAAGCTGTTTAACGTTTGTTTTCCACGGGCTCGATACAAGACCTCAGTGTACCTTTTTAAGTACTTTGTATCTCCCCTCGGCACAATAAGCTGCCTTCGATTTATTCTTTGGTGTCTTTTTCGCTGTTTATTTCCTCTCTTTCCTCTCTGCGCCTGACAGGTGATTTTGTTTTGACATTTTGTGCTATTTGATCGCCTCCCGATGACTGACACTTTGACAGGCTCCGGGAGTGGACGACGGGTCTGCTCCATCCCCAATTAAATATAAGGGATAGTGATGGGAGCGGGGGGGGTGGGGCCTCCCAGAAGGGGTGGGGCCTCCCAGAAGCTTTTTGTAATACTGAGTTGCTATTTTCACTTTATAATATTTCTGATTAGTAGGAGGCTTATAAAAGTGAGACACCTCGTCTGCTCATGGGAGCACTTGGGAATGTTTTCGATATGGCAGGGAAACAAACTTAAAATGTGACTTTCTGAAATGACGGCGGTGCAGTTGGAGTTGGGGGAAGAACACCGTGCCGAAAAAAGGAGACAGTCGGGGCTGGATGCCAGATTTCTAAAAGAGAGTGCTTTAAATTGCTGTCTGTGCTAGAGCCAGAGCTAAATTCAAAGGCACATTAAAATAGCTATATCGTCACTGCGCACTGATCTGATGTCATTATATAAAAAAATTTATGGAGGTCTCTGAAGTTTTGGTGATGTCCATTTAGTGGCATGAATTGCAAATTTAGACCCAGTTTCTACACCCCGTTGCCCTTTTCAAGCCAATCAATCAAATAAAACTGCTGTGATCCTCGAAACCGAGTTTCCAAAGGTTGATTTGCAGCATGTGAAGTCCAAAAATAACATCACAAGTCACATTAGGAGAGGCAGTGATAAAGCATTGTTCCAAAACATGCCTTAAATCTCTAAGAGATATTGCCTTGACCCGCGGAGAATGTCAAATGGACTGAGATCACTTGAGCTCTTGATAAAAATGTCAGGAGATATAGCTGCGCAAGGCTGCAGGAGAAATGCTATATTTTTTTTATTGAGAAGGTGCTGAACCGCCACGTCCTTCAAATTGAAGGCGAAAATAACAGGACAAACAATATGATGCATTATAGGCTGCAGTTGGCCTCTTTCAGGGAGTTTGTTGGGGCAGTTTGTATGGTGCAGGCAGAGGACGTCTGCTGTTTCAGTGGAGGTGCAGACCTACTGCATACGGTTTTCTGTCCCGAAGGGATGTGGAGAAAAAAAAAGAAGTTTATAACAGCCCAACGTAGCATATTTCACTGCCATACTGCCATAAGGGAAGGTTGCAGTCAGCAGGGAATCCATACAGTCTAATTTTGTCTGTCATTGTTGGGAGAAGTGCCGAGAACGCTTTACAGTTTCAGCAGGAATTTTCAATGCCATCGCTCCGGGATGGGCTAAAAGCATGTTTTATTGATTAGAGATATTTAATGACTATTACATTAAATATTACCCCTGGGTTCTGACAGTCCTTTGATGAAATGAGATGAGAAAAATGTGGGTTTTCTTCCCCATGCATCTCTGCTTTGTGACGCTCCCATGTAAGGTCTTTCAGAGAGAGATGACAAACTCGCAATTTATTTGACATGCATTTATGCCTCGAACCGCTTTTGAAAACTTGTGAAATGGATTCTTTTTTTTTTGTTGTATTTCTTTAAAGCGGAATTGAAGATCATCCCAGTGAGAGTGAAAGTAGAAGGCTGGTTTGTCTGAACAAAAGGATATGTTTGTGGGTGAAGCAATGCGACACCCTGGGTCTATAGCCTCCATATGGTGCACAGGGCCTGTTGGGCGTGCTGGTTGAGTACTCCCCCCCCCCCCACCTGCCTCCGGTGAAGCTGCAGTTGATCAGAACCATCAAATAATTGGCAGTGTTGCCTGCTGGGAAAGCTTCTCCATTTCGTTTGCTGGTTGATTGGCTCCATTCACATCTCAGTGCCAGCATCTCGTTTGCCCACATTGGTGTGCGATGTCAGTAAATGAACAATATGAAGCCGCAGAGAGGATGAAACACACATGAAATACTACTTTCAACTCCTGGTCTGTCTCACTGAAGTTTGCCCCCTCATCCTCCTGAGTAGCTCTATTGTTCCCCCAAAGGTGACCTGTAACATGTAATACAGTATCCCGGTCATGTGTCACATCTGCCCGCACTACCTCCGTGGCACAGAGTGTATGTCAAGGGCATGGCCGCGAACGATACATTTAAAGACATGTAAATAAATTACAGATGGGCTGCTATTTTGGCTTCCGCGATGTTGCCGAGGGCTATTTGGCACAGGAGCGTGTTGTCCTGTTCGAGAGCCATACCAACACAGCCAGGAGCTTTGTCCTTGTGTCGGCTTTGTGAGCTCTTGCCAGCTGGATCCCGCCCAGTCCCAGAATGTGTGCTTCCACTCCCCTCTCACCATCAGCACTCATTTTCGAGAGGTACAACC